TTTTTTTGTTTTACGTTATGAATCAAGTCATTTTCCCTTTGCGGAAAAACTAAAAAGAAATACCCGGAGGGACAGGAGGGTAGTAGTAAACGTCGACCGAAAAAAAGTAATTCGACCAGAGCTGTTGGCTTTAGAGTGCAACGGAAACGATTCGCACGTTTTTAAGGTGCTATAGATAACTAATTAGGAACTAATTGGGGAGTGGTTTCTACCTGATAGTGTCAGATAGAGGTCATATATGGTTCCTCGCCTTACTGGTGGCAGGCGCTTACTGCGTTGGCTGTTCAGAGCCATCGCAACGTCCGCTTCCAGGTATCGCCACTGCTACAAGGTCCTCTTTGTTATGCGTGTTTCTTCCGCATATAGTAAAATTTTTACTTATTTTTATAATACGATTCATCAAATGATGATCTTTTGCAATAACGTTTTTGTCTTTTGCAATCTTTTTAGCGTTCAGCGGCAAAAAATCGGCAAAATGAAAAATCGCGTATTTCGGTTGAACGAATGTAACTTCACATGTTTATGTTTAAATTTTTTTTTTTTTTAAGAACATTTTTAGTACAATTACTTTCATAATATATATGTAGCAAGATGTACCTTGTAATGACCCCATGTTTGAGAGATACAAAAGCTGATTTTGTATTTGATATCCATGAGAGGCAATTAAATATTGTGAAATTTGCAACTAGATATTGCAAAACAATTACTGTAATTAATATAAAGGACTGTACCTCAAAATCCAAGAGCGCTTCCTCTTCATCTCTTTTATAATATTCAATGTTAACAGTGATTAAGCCTTCGGTATATCCACGAACTGTAATTAGACTACCTTTGGGACCTGTGTATAAGACTAAAAAGCTTCCATCAATGCTTGATTCAGTTAATGGCTTCAGACTATCAAAGTGTTCTTGAAGGACATTAGCAATTGCTATTTTTAGATTGGATCGTTTCTCCACATCTACTATTACACTTGATGGTACTGTAAAGTCAAGAAGCACAGTGTGGGCAACCATTGTATATAAACCTGAAATCATTTTTATTGTTTACTATTTATTTATTAATAATTATTAGTTATACATTACAAATAATTTAATATGAAATCCATTTGAAAAATTACATAAAGAAATTGTTAAATGAAATTGAAATAATATTATAATTCAATATTTATAAGATATACTTTTATTTCCTCTAATAAAAAAAATCCAATTAATTATAATTAATTAATATTAAATATTGAGAAAAGATTAATACCTGTATGTTAGTATAAAATGATAATAAACTCAGAAAAAACGCAATTCCTGTATAAATCCTTGAATTGAATAAACATAAAAGAATTTATAGAAAATATCTTAAATTTGCCCTGTAAAATAGAGAAATTTTAAGGTTATGTTACAATACACTCAATGGAAAATAGGTTAAATCGTTTTAAACCAACCATTTAAACCAATAGTAATAATGAAGTAATTAACTTCATTAGTGATACATAAGTAAACCATTTTCCCTCTAATAAATTTTATTTGACTTTTAATAATTAATCAAAATTATAATAATTATATTTGAAAGCATGTTTTTTTAATAAACATTTTTTAATTATATCTAGAATTTCCTTGGAACAGAGAGATAATATAAGCAAACATTACATAAATTAATGTTTAAATTAGTTTAGATTGATAATTGAATAAATGTAAGCCAGACAAATTATAAAAATACACAATTTACATGAAATCATACGTTCAATTAATCAAAAGATAAAAGTATATATAATTAATAAAACTTATCCCATTATTCAATTTATTTGCAGAAACGAAAAAATAATAATTCTTAAATAAAACTCGTCTCTTTCTATCTATTTATATAAATTTATAAGTGCACATAATACGTATTGACATGATTAGATAATACTATTAGTGAAAACATGAATTATACTCACAAATTACATTCACAATAATAACTTCTCAATTACAAGAGTAGCACTCGTACGATAAAAATGCTTTTGCAATACAGATCGCTGTATTGTACTGTATTTCAACCAGTGCTACCAATTATCCATGTACATAAATTTCTATACTATTTCAAATTTGTATGTAGAAATTTATAAAATAATTTAGAAAAGAACTGATAGTAAATAAACGAATTGCAATATTTTCAGTATAAATCCAATAATTTACAAAATTTTGTATAATAAGAACAGAAATAGCGATCACGAGATAAATCAATGTTTTTCTTCTCACTCTATAATTTAGGGATTTAGTTTTACGATCTGCTATTGAAATTAAAACTAATAGAATTAAAAATATCGTTTATCTTCTCATTCAATACTTTTATACTTTAAGGTTTCTATAAAGAATATTTATATTTCTAATTAATAATCACTGTTTAATTTTTGAACATTACACCTTTTATTTTAAATTAAGTGGATTGATGAATCATTTCTAAGATGAAAACTAGATTACTAGATATGAAGTTGAAATAAAATATGAAATTGCATAAATTATTGCATAGCATTACTATAACTCGATTGGGCTTTTTTTTAACATTTTTAGTTTTATTTTCAACGATTATAGTTTATCATATTGTACACATTCTATTATTGATGGTTTTTTTGGTTTAATCAATTGAAATGATGAATAACAGTATCATTTTTTAAAACTAGGAATCTGGAAATATTCAATAGATAATAATCGTTACATATATTATTAAACACAAACTTATATTTTACATATGATATGTGAAAATAATAAAAATAACTTAAATATTGGATGCTTCAATTACTTTTATTATATCAAAAAAGATGCTAATTTATTTATTACAAGGTTATAGCTTAATAAAATAGTAATATTTTAATCACTGACATTATCAGCTTGATTATCATCTTCTCTTCCACTTTCTGAAGGACTTCGAGAATTTGATTCTTCATCTGAATCTTTGAGAACCTTTCCTTTAATATTTTTCTTTGGTCTTAACGTTTCAAAGTCTGAACCTTCTTCATCTGATGAATATATATTTGATGCTAAACATATAAAAATATATAAGTACCTATTAATTTATTTTATTTTAAATAAGTTAAATATAACTTACCTTTAACAGGTACATTTATTCCTTTCTTATATTTATTCTTAATTGCTGCAAGAGAAATAGCACCTTCATCGTCTGATCCATCATCGTGATAAGCATTAGCTCCATAACCACCAACAGATCTTCCAGTGGTTCCCCTACTTGCAGTACTTTTTTTCGTTTTGCTTTGAACTCGCATCGCCATACGCAATTTTTCTTCTTCTTTCTACATAATAAAAAAAAATAATAATAACAATGAAATTTAAATGCAAAGTTATATATAAATTTTATAATAAAATGAAATTAAACAAACATAATTCACCTTAATCATTTCATATCTATTTTGATCTGGATTAATTCCTACTTGGGATAATACTTTTATACCAGAAGTTTTTTGTGATCTGTCTGCTAAAGACATTGTCATCTTTCTATGAGTGAAAGATTCTGTAGAATGTGGACGGAATGTCAATTTAGTTCGAAATACTGCTTGCCCTTGAAGACCAGTTCCTTGTCGAATATAGAGGTGATTATGATCACCTTGAAGTGGTTGTTTATACACATCAAAAATCTCTGAACCCAGATGTAGGGACATGCTGCCATCAGACCACTTTACAAATCTGGCATTACTCTCTTTAATAACTTTACCCTCTTCATCAAAAATTTCTTTCCAACGAAGAGTATTTTCAACTTTTAATTTTAATCGGGCTCTACCTTCTTCATCTAAAGTTTCTTCTTCATCAATTTCATCTTCATACGTTTCCGTATCAAATGGCCGTGTTTCCACTGAAAGGAAATTTGGAAGTTTTACAAAATGTATTTCACGACCTAAATCTGTGGAGATTTTTGGAATTTCTACGTCAATTCTTGTCTCTGGCGGAGGTTCTGGTTCTTCTTCTTTTTCTTTGTCTATATCCTAAAAATAACAATTTATAAATATCTTTTGTTTGTGAAAAATCTTTCAATTATACATTATTAATATTTTATATATATACATCTTCAATAACAGCTTGACTAGGGCCTTCACCGCCACTATCAGATCTTCCTGGACTTCTACTTCTGCTTCTACTTTTACTTCTGCTTTTACTTCTGCTTCTGCTTCTGCTTTTGCTTCTGCTTCTACTTCTGCTTCTACTCCTGCTTCTGCTTCTGCTTCTACTTCTGCTCTTGCTTCTGCTTCTGCTTCTGCTTCTACTTCTACTTCTACTTCTGCTTGTGCTTCTGCTTCTGCTTTTACTTCTGCTCTTTTGTCTTTTCTCATCTTTATCTTTTTCATCATCTGTGCTGATATCACTAGCATCTCCAAAAAGAGCATCTGCTGTTGGAGCTAAAGTTTGTTTATCTCCTGGTTCACTTTCTGAATCAGAATCTATTAGCGGTTTTGTCTTTTTTGTGTCATTGTCTGCTTCTGAAGCAGAACCACTATTATTTTCTTTTGGTGCTAGACTTGCTTCTCCATCACTATCACTTGATTTTACACTATCTGTAATATAATAATACATTAATAATACATATTTAAGTAACATCTAATTTATATTTTAAGCACCAATACTAAATAATGGTTATTTATTCTTTTTTAATTTTTCAATTTACAAACCTCTTGTCTTTAACGATTTCTCAGACTCATTGTCATCTTTATTTTCTTCAGAACTTTCTGAAGAACTTTGTTCAGAATCTATTGGTTTATTTTTCTCAGGCTCAGGAGAATTTGTCATTCTAATATATTAATACAATCAGCAAAAGAAGTTATATAGTTTATATATTGTTCTCACTGTAGCATTTACAATGGTTAGAGGTTAGAATCAGAGGCAAGGAAGGTACTTGTATTGAATCTATTGGAATTTATAGTCCGTATGTTGGCAACTATTATTTTAAAATTATGGGGTACTAACCCACATAAATCCAAATCCTTAGACTTTAGTCAATTGCTAAATATGTAAGTGTAGTAATAGCATGTATTATGTATTATTTATTATGTTTCATGAAATGTGTGTTTTGTGACAATTATATGACATAAGTATGTCATTGTTTGCTTGTGAAGTGATTATATAAGATAAATGTCATCAAGTATGTATATATTTTTTGAAATATTTCTTATTTCTTATTTCGTATAAAAATAAAGCAGTTTTATTTTTATTTTGACAAATTTATATTAGGTCCATAATTTACAGATATTTGTAGTTTTTATCCGATGTAATTTAAATACAAAAGCAAATAAAATTAGTAAATATGTTGTCAATTGAATTTTTTAATTTTTTAATTTGTTATCTCTTCTATGTCAAATACATTATTTTGAGTTTGCAACTTATGTTCTGTCAAAATATTTGAACGACGCTGTTCAAATGCTTCCAATACGTCTTTTGGTATTCTTAAGGACATTGTTTTCTTAAATTCTGAAATAATATATATTTAATTTATTTTTACAGATATTACTATTAAAATATAATAAATCAAGTATATTATACTAAAATTGAGTACCAGATTTATCCCTTAATTTCTTATTGAAGAGTACTTCAAAATTAGAAGGTCTCTTCGAAGAATCTTGAGTATTTTCTATCAAATCTCGAATAGTTCTATGTTTTTTTAAAGAGGATTCAGATCTATTTCTTAAATCGTTCATTGTATGATTTTCAATTGCACTTTGGAGACCTTCTGCTATATTTTTTGCATGTGTACTAGTGACTAAATCATTTGATATATTTCTTTTCTGAAAACAAACAACAAAAGCTACAGAATATAAATTAAATTATTTGGTAATAATTTCTTTTATCATATTACCTTCTTAAAACAGGGTAAACTTAATTCTACATTAGCAAGTACATGGATGAATGTTTTGAATCGATGACTTAACATAGCTAAAAATTGGACTAACAAAATGAAAACAAATGCAATAATGAAGAGACATCCAATTGGTTCCAAATGCTTGTATTGTCTTGCTAAATGTACCTGAAAAAAAATATATATTTCCATTTGCAATAAGACTAGTATGAGTAAAAAATGATATTTACAACACATTGAAAGTAAGACCTACTTCATATGAATGATCAGTGGTATAAGTAATATTATATTCAATAGCAAAGGGCCATTGGATATACAAAATATCTTTGTTTATTTGCAACAAGAATATTGCCACTATAAATATTAGATTTATCATAAAGAATTTTAAAACATATTCATTACGTATATTTATTAATCCCTCTGTAATATTTTGCTGTAACCAAATTTAATTTTCTGTAATAATCTTCATTGATTTTTCACTTTTAATAATTTATTTTATTTTAGAAATCATACTTGCTTTTCCATATCTATTTCGATAGGGTGTAAATACTTTTCAATTAACTGTCTCCAAAATTCTTCTTCTGCGTATGAAAGAAAATCAATTTTTCCATTTTTCAAATGTTCATCTTGTAACCAATGAGGATTTATTACATAATTTGGATCATCTTGATGATCACTAGTACAGCTATGTTCTGAAGTTTTTGTTTCTGAATCTATATTTGTATCCAAGTGCTCAGAAACTTGTAATTGTACTTCATCATATATTTTATTTTCATCATTATTTTTTTCTTTTATATTGTTTTTTGATGTATTGTTGAGTTCCAAAGTACTAAAAATTTCAGTGAATTTAAATATGACATATTTATTATAATATTTTTGATTTTTTACTAGTTTGATACCTTTCTATGTGCTTTAAACGAGTATTAACTTCACTTATAGAGGTATGAATAAATTCTAAGTATTTTTCTAATTCCTTTGAATTTTTATGTCTATAAGTTTTACATCCACATAAATTAAAAAAAGAAAACTTCATCTTGTTTGTAATAGTTCCTTCTTGTTCAGATTTCTGTACCTTTATATTTTGCTTATCTGATGCCTACAAAAACGATGATTTATAATGTATGAGAAACAATATTAAAATAATAAGATTAAAATAATAATCTTTTCATAAGGTTATACTTGTTTTTGTAATTTTGATTCTCTGGTCCCCCATGTAATATTATGTAAATTGAAGATAGAAAAAATGATGAGTAACATGTACATAGATGGTACAGTAACATAATAAATTACTGCATTAGGTAAACATGATAATTCTTGAGGATGTAAAAGGGCTGTTATTGTAAACTGACCGATTACAATAAAAAATAAAAGAGCATTGGGTGCAATAAAGCCATCCGCTGCTATTTGTAATAATATTCCAACTAATACAATTACCATTACCAAACTATATAAGACAGTAATAACTTTTGCTGCTATAAGCTACAACAGTATTAATAAAAACATTTAATTCTGTATAATTTTAAATTGAGATAATTCTAAATTAATATATAGTTTTAAATTAATTATATCTACATTGTATATTGATATTTTAAGCAATTACCTGTATACGCACATCGTAGAAAAAACAAATTAAAATAAAAACAAGAACTGCAATTGAGTTAAGCCAAAAACTTAACCAGTTGTCTAATTGAAATGAAGTTACAAATGCCCCAACCATCATTAAGTAAATAAAAGATGGTCCTATAATTGTGCTGCCTGGAAAATAATATAATAAATAAATAATACATATATTTATTTTTTAATATAAAATATAGAAATAATTACTTTCATATATATAATATTCATAGAATCAAATTACCTGTTAAAATCCATTGATAAACTACATAAGGCCATGAAATATTATTATTTAACTTTCTGGTTTCCTTTGAAGTTTCTAGTAAATCAAAAACATTAGCCATGGTTGATGGTATCCACCGCCGACGTTGAATATAAAATTCTTCAAATGATTCTGGAGCATGTGTATAAGCATCACTAGCTGCACAATATTCTACCTATTTCAATAATAATGAAGAGAGATGCTTATAATTAATTAGATTTTTTATTTTTTAGAAAAATAATTAATTTCTCTCATCATAGTCTGAATTATAATGTAAATAAAAATATAAATTTCTTACTTTACAACCAGCTTGTAAAATTAATGTACAAAGCCATCGATCTTCTCCTTGATCATATTGAATATAATGTTTGGGTTCAGTTGACCTTATAGCATATTTAGCTATAACATTATGTTGCATTAAAGCTTTTGCTCTAAAAAGAGAAAAGCAGCCTGGACTGCATAAAACAGAACCTATTGTGTGCTCTGTTGATTTTTGAAGCCAATGTCCAACAGCATATTCAAACTTTTGAAACCAAATCATAGGACCTACATGAGAAAATATATTTTTAAACCATATTAAAAAATTTGATTTATTAAGTCTTGATAAGTTCTAAAATAAATTTAAAAGAAATAAGAATATGTTTCATATTTTTATCATGTTTAAATGTTTGTGGAAGTACCTTTTCCTATTGGATGTATCCTTCCACAAGCTCCACCTAACTCCTTATCTTTTTTCATCAAATCTATCAATGCTTTAACAGCTGCTGGTTGAAAGTCAACATCTCCATCTAATGTTAGGATGTAAGTATTTTCTGCCATCATTTCTTTAGTATCAAAATCTATTGATGAATTCATAAAACGATATCCAAGAAGATAATACATGTACATGACCTATAATAGTTTAGTAATTGATATAAAAAATATAATTTATATATAAATAAAAACCTATTGAAATTAAGTTTATGAAAATAGTCTTGTCTTATATTTATTAAGAATTATTATATTTAAATATACCTGACTCCATCGTTTTCTGTGTCTGATTTTATTTTTATCTTTAAGATGTACTGTTAGACGTGTTTTCCCAGGTAAATTCCAAACAAGTTGACCACCATAAGGGGTTGGATATTTAGTTGGTGGTATATCAAGTATACCAAAACTTTTTATGCTTTCCTGCATTGTCTCTATAAATGTTGTTACATATTCATTTACTTGTGTTTCATTTTCCTTATGATCACAAGATCCTATACAACCATGCATACAACAAAAGGCATCATCAAAAATTATATGTGCTGAAACAGTTCACATGTCATTTTTATTTAAATCATAAAAATTTTAACTAAAATACATTTTGTAAATATATTATTTACTTTCAAGTTCATAATAATCTTTAATAGAAATATTATAATACTTCTGTGTAACTTTCATGGCACATTGATCTTTATCAAGTCTTAAAATACTTCCAATCAACTCGCTCATTTCTTGTTTATTTTCATGCCACATAGTTGCACAAGCATAAATTTGAGGAACACGAGTATTTCTTTTATTACTTATATTATTCTTAGAAAGTATTGAATCAGCATTATTCAAATCATATATTTTGTTTGAACTGCTCATCTAAAATAAAAGTTTCAACTAAAAATGAACAATTAAATAAAATTTTAAATAAAACTTTAAACTACTACATAAAACCTCAAATTCCATAATAGAGTCTGAGGATTCTTCTTCTTTAGCAGTATGATAATTTTCATGTTTCCTTTTATTTAATCCTAAAAACTGATCAATCAAGAGTGTATCATAATTAGAATTATAGAAAATTTTTTCCACAGGAGCAAGTTTTTCATTTTCGCCTAGCCAAAGTTGTACTGTAATCCAAATTTGTGATAACCAGCATATTATCCAACACCAAATACGCCAGTTTAAAAGAAATCCTGTTATATTATCATATTTAGGTGCATTGAAAAATAAATAATCTGGTATTAAATCATGAAGTACACATGAATTTTCTTTTCGTAATGCACAAAGTATCATTATTAATAAGATTGTTCCTGGAGTAATTAAACTTATTGGAAGAGCAAAACCAAATTTATGCATTTGAGTTTGATATGCAAATTTTGCTGCGAAAGTAATAAACAATATTTACAGCTATAAAATACTATCATATATAAATAATAACAATAAAAATTTGTATCTCACCTGCTTGGTATATGAGAAAAGCACAAAATACTTGTAATAGAAAGCTAAACAAAGATATATGAGAAGTGTCTGTGATAATGTCTATAATTTTGTTATTTGACATTTCAATTAATTCTATATTATATTCATTTTGCCATATAAATTCAAAAAATTCTGGTATATGAATTCCTTTAAAAGTTAATATCATTATAGTGCTTGAAATAAAAATTAAACATTTCCATAATGCTATATATCCTTGCAATACATGGTAGTTATTTAATAAATCTGTTTTATTTTTTGCTAATAGATCTATGAAACCTGAAATTATATTTTTTGAAAAAGTTGCAAATTAAAAAAATACGTGCCAGAAAATATTGTACATTATATAAATTATTTACCACAATAACTGTAGTGTGAGATGTAATTATACCACCAGCGCGAAGAAGATAATAAAAGTGATACAGGAAGAATCCATATTAGGGGATTTTGTACGAAATTTAAAAAAGAATATAAAATTATTCCTGAACCTTGAGCAATTAATGCTAAAACATTGCATACTAAGACTACTACAAATATTTTAGTTTTTCTTATATATTTGTAATGTTGGATAAATAAATCTGTAATAAAAATATATAATCAATAAATATATTTTCATAATTAATTTATAAGTCTATTTACTTACTTAAAAAAGTAGGAATAAAACAAACGCAAGTAGAAATTGCAGCCACATCCACAGAATTAAGCTGTGGAAGACTATAGAAAATTAATAATGCAACACCAATTGAATGAAGTGTTTCCAAAACAAATAGAATTATAATGGTTTGTTTTGCAGGAAATTTCGTCTTTCTATTGAAAAGAAAATGCCATATTGCCTGGAATATTGTCAAACATTCTGGTATAAGGAACATAGAAATAATGTACCATGTCCAAATTATTTTGCCTTTTTTGGAAATTCTTGCTCCCAATTCTTGTTGATACTCTACAACATTAAATTACTGAAATATATATTTCTATTTACAATATAAAATATAAAATTTGTATAATTTTAAGTTAATAAAGACATATAATATTTATAAATTACCTGAATAATAATCACAAAAATGTATAGATTTTTCATCTTTGAGCTGTGACAGAGCAAAAATGACTATGAATTTAGAAATTAAACCACTGCAGAGGACAGTACAGAAAAGTATACCGTATATAAACACTTTAATAATATGCACAGAAATATTTAACCATGTTTTATTTTTCATAGACATACTTTCCTTCCTTGTTGGAAAATACATAAATACATCCCAAAATGGAGATTCTTTTGGAAGTCTACAATGAAAATGAGCGAAAAATGAATAAAATTCAATGAGGTAATTATCAATAAACGAGACGTTTTTTTAAAATCCTAAATCAGCTAATTATAATGTAGTTTAAAATTTTTTAAATTTGTTCATACTCGAAATTATGTAACTATATAAAAATAAATAAAAATTAAATTCTCTTACGAATCCTGCGATGTACTTTCATTTTCATTTTCATATTCAGAAAAATCATCGTCGAAATTTTCAAATTTAAACGAAGATTCTGAACTGTCGACTTTCGGTATTGACATATTGAGAGAATATGTTATCGATAAATTTAGTCATTTATATATCAGCGGTAACCCAAATTTTCATCAGCATATCGATCCGATAAAATTGATAAGATTTCGGATTTGTCGAAATTTATATTATCTATAATCCATAAGTGGATAGAGAAATGAAAAAATGTATATAGTTATTTTTTTATTTTTTACAACGGTAATGCTTTGGACAATAAAATTCATTATTGTTAGTTTAGTGTGCTATATATAAAGAATTATAATCATTAATCAATATATTTTACGCTTAAAAATAGATTGACATTAAATGCTGACATTACGGACATTAATCTGTCAGAAGAGCGTTATAACAAATATAAATTAATTCTTTTTTTAAATCTTTTTTAATTATAAAATCTATTCAAAAGAATTAACATTTTTAAATAAAATCTAATGCTTATAAATAAACGATATTCATCTTTTATGATACAAATAGAAAAGAATGTCGGTCGATATTTTTGTTTATTATTTTTTATTTAATAATAGTTAAACATATTAATAATCTAGTTAAACATTTTTATTTAATAATAGTTAAACATATTAATAGTTTTAGTTTGAGTATAAAAATGAATAAAAAACTGTTGTCTATCTCTAAATTATTTGAAAACTTTAATAACGATAATTATGTCCATTTTTTAATAAATCATGAAAATTTACAGAAATAACAACAAAAATTGAAAGCAAGAGTGGGAACAGCACATTCAAACAAGATTTCAATTTTACCGCGGCGTAAAGTTGAAGTCGTATCGAGTTCTGAGTCGTAACAACATTCGATAAGAAATAATCGATAATGAATGATCTCGTAGCACTTTTCACGAGACAGGTTCCTATCTGTGAACTACGCTTTGTGCTTGATTTGTCAATAATCGAGGATAAAGTTGAATGCCGGATTAATTCGTTCGGCATAATTCAAGCAAGTTCGGAAAGGAAACGAGAAATCCTGTAGCGATGTGGCGTGTCCCGAAATTGGCTCTACGGGCCGAGGTCTTCTTTGTTCAAACGAGAGTATTAATACCGAAGGTTGAATCGGTTTAACCGCGGAATTACTTTCCTCGAGTACTTTTCAGTACTTCTCCCTGGAGTTAGACGTCTTCGTCAGGGGTGAATTCTCCTCGGATTTCATTATCTTCTTTATTTTTTTTTTTTTTTCTTTCGAAAATGGCATCACAGAGTCAAAATGCTATTAATGTAAGTTCGAGTGTTTCACCGGCGAATGGATCATCCGGATCGTCGACGACCATCTCAGTCTGCACCACGAAGATGCAGTCACTTACTTCTACACCATCCTCGCAATCCTATCAACAACATTCATCACCGTCGTCGTCACCGTCGCCGTCGCCGTCACCGATACAGCAACAGCATCAACAGACTCTACAACAATCTAACAATATAGAAGCAATTGATAAGAATTCCTCTAATACATTAAAAGTGTGTATACATATACGTATTTACTTGGAAGTGCCTGCTTTTTAAAAAGTTAATTTGTCATGCAGATCGCACATTTATTGATAAGAATTTTGCATATCTCTCTTGCAGCGTAATCCGAAAATGGAATTAAACAAAACTGATTTATTAAAACTATTGGGACATCTTGAAGGAGAATTACAGGCAAGGGATATTGTAATAGCAGTATTAAAGGTAATTTATTTTTTGTTAATTTATGAAACTCAACGTTACATATTAGAGATATAAAGTGGATCTTTACACATTTTACAGTCAGAGAAACTGAAACATCTACTAAGTACTCGGTATTTGAGTGGGACGTCTGATCCACATGCTGCGCTTGCACGTGATGTTGTATTAGTAGGAGGAGTCAGCGAGCACGAACCAAATCAAATAAATAAACAAGTTGCTACTCTAGAAGCGCTTGTAACACAACAAAGATGTATGCAGTTTAAGATGGCCAAAGTTCTTAAAGAGGCGGAACTTAGGCATAGAGCAGTATGTATATCATATTTATTTGAACAGTAATGAATTTTATAAATTATATATTTGTACTTGATTTACCTTAGGTTATCAAGGAATTAGAAGAAGAGAAACGGAAACATGAACATGATACTGCCCAAGGTGATGATATTACATATGGACTGGAAAAAGAAAGAACACGATTAAAAAAAGAGTTAGAATTAGAGAAACAAGAAAAAAAAAGACTGGAATTAGAATTAAAGAAATCAAATGAAACTTTAGACGAAGAAAAAACTCGACAGAAGCAAATAGTACTTCTTCTGCTTGCTGAACGCAAAAAAATAATTATGAAGTACATAGAAGAAAGAAAAAGATCAGAAGATTTAGCACAGATATTAAGCGAGGAAAAAGTTCGGATAGATTCTATGGCTGAAGGACTTGAAGAAGAAAGTAAAAAATCGTTACAAATGGAAGCAGAGCTAGAAAAACAACTTGCGCAATTTGACATGGAAAGGCAACAATATAAACAAGCCTTAGCGAAAGAAGAAAAAAGGGCTAAAGATCTCGAATTAGAATTAGATAAACTTAGGACTGAAATGGATGTGTGGAAAGAGTCTCAAACGCGAGGTTCTCCAAGAGGAGTAGGTGCAACTCCTCCACCTCCTCCAGCCAAACCAATTAATTTAGTTGCTATGCCTACAGTTAAGCCTGCTAATGCACCACAAACAAGTATGTTATGCATAATAATTGTTATAAGTTACATACATTACATCTTAATAAGCGCCAGTAGCAAACAAATGATAGTTTTAATGTTCATTATGTTGCTAAATGCTAATATAAAATAATTATTAAACAAAATATTGAATATTCTTATAATTATATCTTATGTGCAGTTAAAGGTACAGTACTTGGCACTGGGACTCCAATGGTTAGTAGTAAAGTTGTTCAGCCCACTGCCACGGTATCTAGTGTTCCTGTCAGCGGTCCAAGTAAGAACAGCACTTACCCTAAAGTTGAAATAGGATATAAACGATTAAAATATTTTGGATATATCTTCTCTAAGAGAATGTTCGTATCGCATGACAGTGGATGAATTAATAAATTACATTTTGACAGTTAATTGAAAAGGAAATGGTAATTGTAGCTCTTGCTCATAAGCGTACCATAATTCATATGATGTAAACGATGAACCTGTTACTTCTATTTATCATATAGTTATTTTAATTTATAATTTAGTACTGGTTCATACTGGTGCAGGATTAAAGCAATAAATAATTTGTATTTAAGATATTATTCTAAAGATTATATAAAATTAGACAACTCATACTGATCTCTTGGGAGTAATATATTAGGAGTATAATATCTATTTAAGATAATGAAATAATATTTGTATTAATTTCTTTGTAGCTACTGGAATTGCTAGGTCAGTAACTCCTGGGCAGGCATTACGCGGGGTCTCATACACGTCCAATATTACATCCTCTAGTGGTGAAACTGCAGCGTCTGCTGAAAATCAGGTAAACTACCCTCATTTTCCTTCACATTCTACTTTAATTTGAAAATATTATATATTACGTATTTATGCATATACTTGTAAAAATCATATTCGGTAATATAGCTTTTATATTATTAAAATCTTTCATATGTTTTATTTCAACCAATTATGTTGATTTTTAATACACAACGATTTTTTATGCACTTAATTTGTATAAAAATTTACAAAATGTATCAAAATAACATAATAATATGTTATTAGGTTGAAAATATTTGAACAGTATATTGCTTGTATGTAATATCAAAAGAAATGATTCTAAAAATAAAATTAGTAAAAATAAATTATATAGTTACATATATCGATTTTTATTGTGAGATTAAAAAAAAAAGTAAATATATTAATACAAGTATGATGATAGTGTATTCATAAATTTTTTATTAAGAAATGAATAAAATATATAAATAAGATATATTAAGATCTATGTATAAATATAATAGAGATACTTATGAAAATATTACCATACAAGGAATATTTTAGATATTATTATTATTACAATTATAATTATTAATGATAAAACAGTGCTTCTAAAAATAATCAAAATATAATTATTTAATTTATTGGACTCAATAATATTATTTGATATTATTTTATATATACATATATATAATATATATTAAATAATATATATATTAAATAGATTTTCTAGTTTTATATTTCAAATTGAATGTTATACAGAATAATTTTATTGTATGATTATTGCATGATAATGATAAATATAAATGTCTTATCATCTTGTTTTAGAACGCACAGTTATTGCGCATTTTTTGACTTCTATTATTATTTCTAATGAATCAATGTAACAAAGAGAAACTGCTTTGGGATAAAATTGGTTTATTTCTTTTTCTAACACATAAGTACGTTACTGATTGTATTACGATAACGTAAAAACAACAATCAGTATAATTACTAAGTAAAAAAAAAAAAAAAAAAAAAAAAACAATTAATGTATATATTTAGAACAACAGTATAAAAATTAGATATTTTCTATATTTTTATACAAAGAACAGATGTAAAATGTGAAATATATAAAATATGATTAAAGAGCAGAAAATAAACACATACAAATAAATATATAAACATAATAAACATACACAATAAGTCATAAGTATACTTATGTATATTAATGTTGCATGCACACATCTTGCAGATGCGTTGCATGTTTTCCCAATTTAATAAGGATTTTTTAATTATCACATCGAAATTTCATTAATATTTTATTAAATTTTCTTTAATATACCACATTATAAATACACGATTATGGTTATGATTAAATATTCTTTTATTACATAGGTGACAAATGTTTATCTTTTTATTTCTAATTATACACACATATACACATACATGTTTGTAGACTTTAATTCACATTGATTATGTCACATTGTATTATTTTATATAAGTTAATACACCATCAAATTTTACACCGTCTAACTTGTGCTATTCTTATTTTGTACATAAGATTACTTAGTATGTACATTGATTATTTCCTTAATTAAAACTTGTATGCAACTCACTTTTGAGCCTTATTTACAAATTTTCCCTGCTTGCCCTCCTAATTGCAACCCTGTATTTGCTATTGCTAACTTTACGGTTTGGTTGTTTCACTTATTATTTTTTCCAAGTTGTGTAATGTACTATCCTAACAAAGAAAAGTAGACCTACAGTTTTTATGGTAGAACTTTACAATTCTTCCAATTATGTTCGCAGATAAAATTCATACTATCTCTCAATGACTTTGTCAGCAAAGTAACGTATTAAGTTGCCTACATCATTGTTAGGAATTAACATGTCTCGGTTAAAGATAGGAAAATATATATATATATATATATGGTCAATTTTTTGCTTAGGTAACAAGCCGGCCTCTTTTTCAAAGATCTTCAGTCACTGTTTCTCTGGCAATTGATTTATTTCTTCGCTTTATATTGGTGATTTGGTATAATTTCGACTTCTCTCTTTTTCCCCTCTTCTTTCTGTTTTTAATTATTATCTTAAATGCAGCGACATGTCAATATAATGCCCTTGAAAGGGATAACCCGAACGTTAAATCGGATCTCCTGTGTATTCATTCCTCAGGCTGTAGACAAACGTGTGGTTGTGCCTGCTCCTGTAAATCCTGGAGGCACGGTAAAACTTATGCCATCGACGCAAGCTGCAGGAAAGGTTGGTTTTCATGTTGGATCTGGTTCGGCGATTCAAGCATCTGGTATGCTGCCCTCGAAAAAGCCACCAGTATCCCGCGGTGTTCCTCCTCCAGTGCCACCAAATAAGCCGGTAGTACCACCTAAAAAGGAGGCTGCTTATATTAGAAGAACTGAGTCTCAGGCAACGCAGGACGCCGTAAAACTTGGTAAACAAGCTGCGGCGCATCCTACTAGTGGATCTACCGCACCGCAAGTTCAACAGGCAATAGGAGCTTTTACTCAAGCCTCCGACGAAGAGGTTAGTAATAAAGCTCCTCTGCCTTACTCATCCAATTAATACTGGATGGATATAATTTCAATTTGTCACATCAAGTGCCAGCATTTTTAACTACTATTCTTGTCTCCTGTTATTACATTCTCTTTCTCTTTTGTCAATGACTTTTTAGAAGTCTCATCGGATCCTCAAGAAAGCTAGTTATTCCAACAAAATTGCAAACGCGTGGAATTCACGTAGAAGTAGAATTCTATAAATAATTTCTATCTACTAAATCTCATGTTAATTAGACACGTACCGAGAGTACAAGTAAATTGTACGAATCAGGAGTAAACAATCAGTTATGCAAGGGGGTTGGAATTTGTCTTCATTTTATCTCGAATCATTTTCATTATATAATTTCTTAACGAACACACTGTGTTTCCTATTTTCTTACGTTACGTTAATTGGTTCTTAAATAAACGTTATTATCTACCTGTTGCCTGTGTAAATTACAAGAGGTTTCTGATAACGAGAATATTCTTGAGAAGCTTGGTGCACTTGATTAACTTCCTTGAGCATCCGATGATGAATCGATATTGTTCTTCTGTATGATCTTTCTTATATACGTGAACGCGTGAATATGATTTCAGACAAAGCCACGTTGATTTAACGGCGGGTACAAAATACAAAAAAAAAAAACAAAAACGAAAAAGTAAGCATTATTAACGTTTAAGAAAAGTCTGAAAGCCGTGTAAGCACGAATAAAAGTTTGGGGTACCGTGTTTGGAAACTACGCAACGCGGGATTCCATTAACCAACGTTTCTGAATCAACGAAAAGAAACGTTCGTGCTCGAACTATACTTGTTCATCGATTGATTATACATCGCGTACCATAAGATACCATTACCTATACTGTTAGATCTCGCCATCGGACGGATCTATGGATCCATAGCGATACGTCACCAACCAACCACGAATCATGCTTGTAACATTGTATTATAGTCGAAATGAATCAATCGAGAGAAAAAAAAAAAAAAAGAAAAAAGAAAAAAAGAAAATGAAGAAGAACGGGATTATTTGAACTATTTAAGGTAGAACTCTGTAGATTCTGTAGTTTATTATCCGCGATCTTTCCGAATTACACTAAAAGTCATTAGATAAAAATTAGTATCGTTGTAACGTGCTATTCGTAAGAAGGAACGATGCTGTTGTCAACAGTGGACGTGAATAATAAATGTTTATGCAACAGGGAGCTAGACCATGTAACATGTTAATAAAAACAAATACTTTTAGGTAGGGAAAAATATGGAAGGGTCATTTAACGTTAAATCATCCAATTGAAAGGTTTCCGTTGAGGAGAAACCTTTACCTTTTTTCTTTCTTTTTTTCAAGCGAGTACTTTCTCTCTCTCTCTCTCTCTCTCTCTCTCTCTCTCTCTCTCTCTCTCTCTCGTACTTAACTGAAAATAAATAGTCATATACTCATCTTTTTTGCTTTTTATATAAATTTTTTTTTACTTACTCTTACTTTTGTAAAATGTAATCTCTAAAGGAAATATGTACGCGTTGAAGAAGTTTTGGAACAATTGATCGACTTGACGCGAGATGACCCAACAGTATATGCTATAATCACTGCCTTGCCTGACGTAAATGCGTGCATCGCCATTATACCGATGTTATGTCAACAACGAGAGCATTTCGAGCGAGTTTAACCGAAACGATGCAGCTAGAAAAAGGAATAAATCAGTGATTCGCATCGTCTTTGTGAACACGTCGATTTGCCCCCCCTCCCCTTTGGGGTCGAGGGGGCAGGGAACTCGAGAAAATCCTATAGGACAATATCTATATCGCAAAGTAGTATTGTTCGAAATCCATGCGACCATCGTATCTCTTCAGACATCACGGCTATCGATAATAGCGGATCAAAGAAACATAGAAGGAGCAATATTTATTTTCTACAAAACGCGATCGTTTCGTTTCGAGGAGGAAATTTCCAATGATCCAGGCCAGTCGCGCAGTTATGAATGTTGAATAATAGTGAATATCAGTGATCTTATTGATCCACACAGTGTTCCGTAAGATGTATCGTTCCAGTCAGGATGGAAAGGCGAGCGAAATCACCTGAAAAATCAAAAATTAAAAGCAAAAATATTCTCAGTGTTCTCGTACTGCAGCTAGTTCATCAATTTTCCTATTTATTCGACGCGAGTGAACGTGCGAATTCGCACAGTGTGCGCCTGCAGCAGGATCGTTTTCAAATGCACTTCCAAGCGTTCGTGACGAGGGTGTCGAGAGTAATTTTCGGCTTGTAAAAAAAAAAAAAAGAAAAAAGAATTCCCTAACCCGCCGAGCGTCTTACGGTACATCTTGCGAAATCTCTGTACAAATTTCGTTCCCACAATGCAGAGTTTATAACAAGGACATGAATAAAATTATTCGTTTGTACACAGTTTCTCTTGTATAAATTATAAATGGATGGAATTACGTTCTCACAAACGTATGAAAGATGTACACACGCGTGTAACGTTATATTTATTCGTTTATTGCACGCTCGTTCGCTCAGACACACACACACACGCATAAGAGGAAGAAAAAAAAGATCTATCGGAGTTATTTAAAGATGTACCTCACTTTCCTTTCGTGTGTGTGTGTATATATATATATATATATATATATATATATATATATATTTTACATGCGACCGTGATTTCATAAAACGTGTGAAAATATTCAACGCGCGCGCGCATATCCATTGTCTGCGCCAATTTTTTTCTATTTCTTTTTTTTTCTTTTTTTTTTTTTTTTTTCAAAGAACGTAAACGTCTGTCCTAGTGCTAGTTGCTCTTCTTTGTTTTTCTCTTTCTCTCTCTCTCTCTCTTTTTTTTCTTTTTTTGAGAATGCTCCAGTCAAACAAGCGTAAATATTACGCCGCATTTCGCAACGGATCACGCGCAATCTCCCCAGTTTCTTCATACTTTGGGAATACCTGACAACGATTTATTCAGGACGAAAGAGAGTCTCGCTCAAGATGAATATCAAAGGAACGAGAGGAATCCCCTTTCGAGTTTTCGCTCGCAAGGAGGTGTGAAAAAAATTGCACAGCCTTTGCCTTTTTTTTCGTTTTTTTTTTTTTCTTTTTTCTTTCGGAAGTTCGCCGCCCGCGAGATTCCCGATCTCATTTCGAGAAGTTGTCCATTATGTTGCGCAACTTGCCACGCGTTCTATCTTGCACTTTCTTCGAGAGTCAACGAAAACTCTATTCAACGCCGGCGAGATGGAATCTCGCGGTCTCGCTTTGGGAAACCATTTCCAGAGAGGATGTCGAATAAAAATCCGCGATACACTGAGCAATAAACGGGAGAGAAAGAAAAAGAAGGAAAAGTTGGGTAATTTGCGAGGGGACGGTACGCGAACACTCGTTGTGAACGACGTAATTAAGAAACCCTCGGGGGTTGGGGGACTGAGAAAGCAATTAAAACGAGAGCAGGGTGAAATCCTACGGGATGAAAGTGACTACGTTCTTTCGAGATGAGGGAAGGTCCAGATGACGCCTTGGAGGAAGAAAAGCGTTTTCAAAGCAGCGAATTGCGATAACAAGCGAAACGAGAAGAGAGAGACACAGTTAAAAAAAAAGAAAAAAACAGTCGGGGAGGACGAAGACTTACGTTCACAGATATACACTTGCCAGTACCTTAGACTTTAGCAGAGAGTATAGAATCCGTGCAAGGTGTAAATGTGTCTCTCGAGGGATAGGAGGCGGGGGGGGGGGGACGAGAAAGAAAAGAGAAAGCATTAGAGATAGGATCGGGTCACATAGGAAGACGATGACCAAGGAGCGCGCGAGGGTTACAGGAAGCCGAGAACAGGAGGAGGACAGAGAGAGGAAGCAGAAGGGGGACCTAGAGAGAAGGTGAGAGTGGGTGTGAGGTTGTTCCCTGCTGGCGAGGATGGTAAAAGGTAAGCAGCGCGTATAGCGCGTGCGCTCGTCGGCTAGGTTGTCGCCGATACACGTATATACACGCGAGCATCGAGCGTGTGTGTGTGTGTGTGTGTGTGTATACGCCTGAATCTGTTCAAGGGAGCGAGAGGTTAACACCGCGAGAGGGAGGCTCGCGAACTCTCGAACGAGGAAGCGAGCGGGGATGACGAGAGCGCGAGCGAGACGGGATTTCCAACACACGGTTGGAAACGTGAATGGAAAGAGCGAAACGGAGAGCCGACGGACGAAGAGGCAAGAGGATCCGCGAGATCCTTGCGCGGTATGAGGTTTGCATGCCTAGCGGACGGCTCCTCAGTATCGTCCTACGTTCCGTTCGCGACGCGCATCCCTAAACTTCTGGTCCTCCTGTCCGTTTTGCCTCGGTTTATACCGGTGTATACCATTCTGTCGCCGAATCTTCCACTTTTTTTTTCCATCCCTTTCCTTCTTTTCTTTTTTTTTTTGCTCCCTTTCTTTCTTTGCTCAGTGATAACGACCCCTGACCGAGGAGCGAAACGAACATTGAACGGAACTCCCGTGTCCACCGGGTGATGTGTGTTGTCGTTTATATCGTATCCTCGAGCTGAGTGATTCGCAAAGGCAGAGAGGAGAGAAAGAGAGAGAGAGAGACATTGGATGTGTTACGCACGTACGTATATATGTATGTATGTATAATCTTGACTGACGAATAAATCGTGACTCGATCGACCGTTTGTTGTCACTCGCGCGCTGCAAGCGAGCGTGGGAGATTGTGCACTTTGACACTTTTTAGGGAAAAAAAAAAAAACCGATGCGACGTGTTTGATGAATGAGATCACGTTCCTTTTTCTTTTTTCTTCTTTCTTTTTTTTTTTTTTTTTCACACTCTCTTCAGTATGCGTATAAATATGTATATGTAGGATAAGGTGCGCAGCATCGTCGATGTGTTTCGTGTGTTTACGTTTTAAACGCTTCGAAGTTAGGAGACACGAAGTGATATATGATTTAGACGGTGATAATAAGTGATAAGTACAATTGTAGCAAACTGCTGTTACTGACCATTACCTGACACGAACAGATTGTTCTATAATTTATGTATGTACAGATATACTTGTATAGACTCGTTGTCGAGATTGTTTTGTAGCCGAAGTACAGCATTTGCCCCTGTATCGAGTTTTTTTTATTCGCCGCGTTTGTACGATCCGATCTCCGATATACACCTCGCGAAATATTTCTGCTATTCTGTCCCCATCGATCATATTTTTTCAATCGATCCGTAACTCCGTAGGTCCTTGTCCGATCTAACTTTAATTTTTGCGAAAGCAATAAATGAATATATTATGTATGTATATATATTATATATATATATATATATATCATGGAGATGTTATATATATATATATATATTCTAAGAAACATAAAATTAACAAAAACAAGTGGCGAAATAGTGGAGAAATAGTGCGGTATGTTCCTCCTGATTGTGAAACGCACAAAGAAAGAAAAGAAAAGAAAAAGAATCCTTATTTTTTTGGTGATCCGAGAAATGCATCGTCGATATCGATGAAAACATCGAATGTGTAAAAAGACGATCGAAGAAAGATGTATCGCCGGAATTATAAGAATATAGCACGAGAAGAGAAAAGTCGAGTGAAAAAAAAAAAAAAAAAGAAAAAAGAAAGAAAGAAAGTTCTAAAACCAGCCCCCTCTGTTCCTCTTTTATCGTTGATCCAATTCGCCGCGCGGCTTCTCTTTTGTTTTGCCCCCCTTTCATTGATATTCCCTTGTGATGTGGCAGGGGAATGAAAACTTCGCTGTTGCCGCGAAAGAAACTTTGTTAGAGCTAGCAAAGTATGGCATCCATAATTAGGGCCTAGTATATCGAGCTTGACGTTATGATTTTGTATACTTTGCGCGGTCTTCTCCGATCGTGTCAAACTTTGTTCTCACGTAGCCGCATTCTCCACGCTTATTCCCATGTAAATTTCGCCCATATAGATCCGAGGTAATTTACCAAACAGATAATCACTATATTTTTCATTTTTTTTTTTTTTTTATCTTTATAGCAATCTTGATTTTTTTTTTTTCGACAGGTAAGTCGCGAAAATTACACAATTCTCGATAAGTTGATAAGCGATAGTATGAAACGGTATGAAATTGTATTTTTCAACGTTTTTACAATGTGTTCTTAAAAGTTAACATTTTTTTTCTCTTTTCTTTTTTCAATATTGACCCATTTCTGTGACACACCACAGCGGTATGACGTAAACAGGCTTAAATACTAAAACAATATAACTCCGTCGAACAATATAATTATGACTGTGATTAATTAAACATAAAGAAAAGGGGTTCCCATGGTCGACATTGCGTTGTATCTCACGGATGGAGTGAACACACTTCCACGAGACCGTTCCTCCGCAAACGTCACGCACGTCAGA